TCTTTAAAAGACATCTGAAAGCAGCCCTGTTCAGGGAAGTTTTTAATATTTAATGCTGTATTGTTTTTAACACTCAATTGGGAGCCGCCCAGAGTGGCTGGGGAAACTCTGCCAGATGGGTGGGGTATAAATAATAAATTATATTATTATTATTATTATTATTATTATTATTATTATTATTATTATTATTACTATTATTATTAAGAAGTGAAATGAAGCAAGAAGATATGCACACACACACACATATATATTTATATATTTGGTAAGGGACGCGGGTGGCACTGTGGGTTAAACCACAGAGCCTAGGACTTGCCGATCAGAAGGTCGACGGTTCGAATCCCCCGACGGGGTGAGCTCCCGTTGCTCGGTCCCTGCTCCTGCTAACCTAGCAGTTTGAAAGCACATCAAAGTGCAAGTAGATAAATAGGTACCGCTCTGGCGGGAAGGGAAACAGCGTTTCCGTGTGCTGCTCTGGTTCACCAGAATCAGCTTAGTCATGCTGGCCACATGTGGACAAACTACGGAGGGTCAAACATCAAATAAATAAAATGTCTCTGCAATTTCTTAGTTGGAACTGTAACGGTTTGAACCATCCCAGGAAAAAACGACAAGTTTTCCACATTTTGAAAAAGGAACAACTGGATCTGATATGTCTACAGGAAACCCATATAACCAGAGCACACAGGAAACTGTTGGTGAACAAAAGATTAGGACAAGAATTTATATCTTCTGACAAAGTAAAAAAGAGAGGAGTAGTGATTTATGCAAAAGAAAAATTGGACCCAAAAATGAAATTCAAGGATGAAGAAGGAAGATATTTGGCAATCGAAGTACAGATTCAGGGAGAAAAATATTTGATAATTGGAGTATATGCACCTAATGATGGGAAGGCCGAATTTTTCAAGAAGTTGCATGAAACTTTATTGGACTACCTCGACTGCAAAATAATACTGATGGGGGACATGAACGGAGTGGTCTCCACAAATATGGATAAGGCACAAAGACAGACAATTTCTAAAGAAGGAAGACTACCAAAGACTTTCTTCGAGATGACGGAAAACTTGGATTTGATTGACATCTGGAGAACAAGGAACCCTCTCGAGAGAGAGGGAACCTTTTTCTCGGAATCTAAAATGACATGGACAAGAATCGACCAAATCTGGGTATCTAGTGTGATGGCTACAAAGATAAAGAAAGTTGAAATCTGTCCAAAAACCTGCTCCGACCATAATGCAGTAAAGATGGAAATGAAAATGACAACAACTGGATCCTTCAGATGGAGAATGAATGACTCCCTATTTAGAGATGAACAATTTTGTAAAAAGGCCCTAAAGACATTAAAAGATTACTTTGAGATAAACTCGAGAACAGAAGTGGAAAAAAGAACAATCTGGGACGCGAGCAAAGCCGTGATGCGAGGCTTCCTGATACAACAGAATTCAATTAAAAGGAAAAAGCAAAATGAAAGGAAAGAAAGAATATTAGAAAAAATGAAGGAAGGAGAAAAGAAATTGAGGTCTAATCCAAAGTCTCAAGAAATTTTGAGAGAAATAAAGTATTACCAGACGCAATACATGGAACTGACAAATCAAGAGATAGAATGGAAAATTAAACAAATGAGACAAAGGACTTTCGAGTCAGCAGACAAATGTGGGAAGCTTCTTGCATGGCAATTGAAAAAGAGGCAAAAATTGAATACAGTCACCTGTTTGGAGATAGAGGGAAAGAATATTCACAAGCCAAATGAGATAAGTAATTGTTTTCAAAGCTTTTTTAGGAAATTATACACACAAGGGCCAGTGAATGAACAAGAAATAGATGAATTCCTTAAAAATCATGGACTATCTAAAATTTCAGAACAGAGCAAGTTGACTTTGAATGAGAAAATAACAGAACAAGAAATAGAGGAGGCCATTCAAAAAGCGCAATTGGGAAAGTCTCCAGGACCAGATGGTTTGACGGCTAGATATTATAAAGTTTTGAAAGAATGTTTAGTGCAACCATTGAAAGAAGTCTGCAATGAAATATTGGAGGGGAAAAAGGCACCTGAAACGTGGAAAGAGGCTTTTATTTCACTTATACCAAAAACTGAGACTGAAAAGAATCAGGTTAAGAACTACCGCCCGATATCATTACTAAATGTGGATTACAAAATATTTGCAGACATTTTAGCAAAAAGACTGAAGAAAGTATTGATAGGTGAGATTCATAAGGACCAAGCTGGCTTTCTCCCGGGAAGACATATGTCTGATAATGTGAGGAATATAATAGACATTGTGGAACTGCTGGAAATGAACATTAATAGAAAAGCGGTTTTGATTTTTGTGGACGCGGAGAAAGCCTTTGACAATATTTGTTGGAGTTTTATGAAAAAGAATCTCCAAGGGATGGGGGTAGGCCAAGGTTTTGAAAATGGTATAGGTGCAATATACTCTGAACAGAAGGCAAAGCTGATTGTGAATAATGTGGTAACGGAAGAGATAGCTATAGAGAAAGGAACACGACAGGGATGCCCTATTTCCCCTCTACTTTTCATACTGGTCCTGGAAGTTTTGTTAAATATGATTAGAAAGGATCAGTTGGTTAAAGGAATTCAGGTCGGAGCGAAAGAGTATAAACTGAGGGCATTTGCAGATGACCTAGTTCTGACTTTACAGCAGCCAAACACTAGTACAAAAAGAGTCTTAGAATTGATTGAGATATTTGGTCAGGTTGCAGGATTTAAACTGAATAAACAAAAAACTAAAGTGCTGGAGAAAAACCTAACAAATGAGGAAAAAGAGACATTCCAGAATGAAACAGGTTTGGAGATAGCAAAAAAGGTGAAGTACTTGGGGGTGAACTTGACAGCGAAAAATGTGAACTTATTTAAGGACAATTATGATAAATGTTGGACAGAAGTCAAGAAAGATTTAGACATATGGTCAAGGTTGAAACTTTCCTTGTTAGGCAGAATTGCTGTTATCAAAATGAATGTATTGCCTAGAATGTTATTCTTGTTTCAGACATTACAAATAATAGACAAGATGGACTGTTTCAAGAGGTGGCAGAAAGACATATCGAAATTTGTTTGGCAGGGCAAAAAGCCAAGAATAAAATTTAAGACATTAACAGATGCAAAAGATAGAGGAGGTTTTGCCCTGCCGGACTTAAGACTTTACTATGAATCAGCAGCGTTTTGCTGGCTGAAAGACTGGCTGCTCCTCGAGAATACAGACATTTTGGATCTTGAAGGGTTTGATAACAGATTTGGTTGGCATGCATATATATGGTATGACAAGGTAAAAGTGCACAAAGGCTTTAAGAACCATATGGTGAGGAAAGCTCTGTATAATGTCTGGATAAGGTATAAAGATTTGCTTGAAAGCAGAACCCCTAGGTGGCTGTCACCAATGGAGGCAAATGAGGTGAAAAAATTGAATATGGGCTCTAATTGGCCTAAATATTTTGAAATGATAGAACAAGATGGTGAAAAAGTAAAATTGCAGAGTTTCGAGAATCTGAAGTTTAAGGTGAGAGATTGGCTACATTATCGACAGATAAATGAAGTATTTAAACAGGACAGAAAGAAAGGCTTCCAAGTGGAGAAGTCAAAACTAGAAACAGAACTGTTAGAACCCAATACTAAAAACTTGTCAAGAATGTACAACTTGCTGTTGAAATGGAATACTCAAGATGAAATGGTGAAATCTAGCATGATTAAATGGGCACAGGATATAGGGCATGACATTGAGCTTGCTGACTGGGAGCAGTTATGGACCACTGGTGTTAAATTTACGGCATGTAATGCCTTAAGAGAAAACATTATGAAAATGATCTACAGGTGGTACATGACTCCGGCTAAGTTAGCAAAGATCTATCATCTGCCCAATAACAAGTGTTGGAAGTGTAACGAAACGGAGGGAACCTTCTATCACCTTTGGTGGACCTGCCCGAGGATTAAGGCTTTCTGGGAAATGATCTATAATGAAATTAAAAAAGTTCTGAAGAGAACCTTTAATAAAAAGCCAGAAGCCTTTCTCCTGGGTATGGTGGGCCAAATGGTGCCAAAGAAGGAGAGGACATTTTTTATGTATGCTACAACAGCAGCAAGAATTCTTCTAGCAAAGTATTGGAAGACACAAGATCTACCCACGTTGGAAGAATGGCAGACGAAGGTGATTGATTATATGGGACTGGCAGAGATGACTGGCAGAATCCGAGACCGGGGGAAAGAGGCGGTGGATGAAGACTGGAACAAATTTAAAGTTTACCTTAAAAACTGTTGTAATTTGGAAAATTAGAGGACCAGGGTAATAAGAGATAAAGAACTACAGTTGTTTTATTATTTTATGGAAAATAAATTTATGAAATAGAAATAAGTTTAATACGAAAGGGTTGCTGGAAAATCTTGAAACATGAATGCAGAAAAGGGGTGGTATGGGGAAGTCGTTTTTGTGTTTACCTATGTTTCTACTTTGTTTTCTCTTTTACTTATGGAAAATTAATAAAAACTTATTTAAAAAAAAAAAAAAAACTACGGACAAACGCCAGCTCCCTCGGCCAATAAAGCGAGATGAGCGCCACAACCCCAGAGTTGGCCAGGACTGGACCTAACAGTCAGGGGTCCCTTTACCTTTTCCTGTGTAAATTCCACATCAGCCTGCACTTTCCAGCCTGTGCCCAACGCGGAAGGTCCCTTTCCAACCCCTCCATCCTCCAGAGATCCGAAGAGATCCGCTGGACGCTCTCCAACTTAGCGAGCGCGCGAGCCAAGCAGGACAGGAGGCCCCGCCCCCCCGGCCTCCCTCCGCCCGCTCCCTCTTTTGCATATGGCCTCCGATTGGCCGGCGCCCCTCGGGCCACGTTCGTGCCGGCGCTCCCTCTGCCGCCGGCCTTCTTTATCAAGCGAGCGGCCCGACCCGGAGATCCACCGCCGCCGCTTCCCTTGCGCCTGTGCGCGTGCGCGGCTCCTCGCCGCCTCCTCCTCAGCCGCGCCGGGTCGGGACGGGAAGGCGGCGGCGGCGGCGGCGGCCGGGATGCCGGGCGAGGGCGAGGGCGGCGGCTGGAGCGTGTCGTTCGCCGGCTGCGGGTTCCTGGGCGTCTACCACGTCGGCGCCGCCAGCTGCCTGCAGGAGAGGGCCCCGCACCTCATCCGCGACGCCCGCCAGGTGTGCGGGGCCTCGGCCGGAGCCCTGACCGGAGCCGTCCTCGTCGGAGGCGGGTCGCTGGGTACGAGCGAAGGGGACGCGCCTGCTCCTCGCTAGTCTCATTGCCTTATTGCTGGGCTTTTCTCTTGCAATGACTATTATTATTATGTAATTTTATTCATATTTTATAATAATAATATTATAAACGAAACATTGAGCTTTGAAGGCAGCAATAGCGGAACAGTCGCAAGGGCAGTTGGAATAACCTGGTAATTGCAATAATCGCAACAAAAGCTTTTTCTTTTTTTAATTAAAGAACGGACGAGCGGCCGTGAGCTTAATGCAAGGTTTGCTTTTTTTTTGCACCGGACGTACGGAGTTGTTATCTTAATTACGATTTATGTATCCGATTCATTAGGCGCTTTTATGTTGCCCGTGGCAACCCAGAGTGGCTTCCAGCTCAACCAGCCACTGGAGGGCGGGTGCCAGGGATAGACTTTGTTGCTTATATTCAGTTTATTAGGCGCTTTTATCTTGCCCAGGGGCGACCCAAAGTGGTTTACAGCTCAAAGAAACGGACCCTTGAGGGTGTTCACCCTAAATATGGAGAAGGGGTGTGTTGTTTGTTTGTTTGTGTTTGAGGTTGAGGCTGTTGAAAGGGGAGCAAGGCTGCAAATGTCGGAATGAAAGTGCCCAGAATCTTGATCTAGGATCCGAAGCTCAACTCAGGTCCCAATAATGATGGAGAGAGTAACTCTGAATATACGGTGAGGTGCTTGTGCAGCACAGTCTTAGACAGGTGGGAACTTGTGACTCAGCCATGTCTTCCTTTAATACAGGATTGAGCCCAAATGCCTCTCACTAGAAATCAAACACTGACTTCTAATGGTGGGAAAAATTATGCCTTTTTGTGCTCTATTAATGGAGTCATTGCTGGGTTGGGCAGTGGCTCGGTTAATTTCATTGTACACAGGTTGTACATTGACAATAAAGGTATTATTATTATTATTATTTTCTTTCTTGAATTGGCAAACTGCCCTTTGTACCTCAGTTTTCGAACATTTCGGAAGTCAAAAGGTCTTCCAGAACGGATTGCATTTGAAAACTGAGGTACGCAAATAGTGAAGTCAGCTATGCACCTGCAAGCAGATAAAACACCTGCTAATTTCCCATCAGATTTCCATTTTAGCAAAGTTTTCCAGCTAGACTTCCAGGATTTCTCTGTTCTGCACTCAGTCTTTTTTTCCTCACACGCACAGCGGGTGTCTGTCTAGGAAACCTCTCACAGTAACATACGATGGCCAGGCCATTGACCATAACCAGTGATTAAATTGACCAAACTTGCCACAAGATTATAGGATAGGGTGGGAACCAATATGGATGTTGATGAGAAATGATATAGAATCAGTGACCATAGAATCATAGAATCATAGAGTTGGAAGAGACCACAAGGGCCATCGAGTCCAACCCCCTGCCAAGCAGGAAACACCATCAGAGCACTCCTGACATATGGTTGTCAAGCCTCTGCTTAAAGACCTCCAAAGAAGGAGACTCCACCACACTCCTTGGCAGCAAATTCCACTGTCGAACAGCTCTTACTGTCAGGAAGTTCTTCCTAATGTTTAGGTGGAATCTTCTTTCTTGTAGTTTGGATCCATTGCTCCGTGTCCGCTTCTCTGGAGCAGCAGAAAACAAACTTTCTCCCTCCTCTATGTGACATCCTTTTATATATTTGAACATGGCTATCATATCCCCCTTAACCTCCTCTTCTCCAGGCTAAACATGCCCAGCTCCCTTAGCCGTTCCTCTTAAGGCATCGTTTCCAGGCCTTTGACCATTTTGGTTGCCCTCCTCTGGACACCTTCCAGTTTGTCAGTGTCCTTCTGTGGTGCCCAGAACTGGACACAGTACTCCAGGTGAGGTCTGACCAGAGCAGAATACAGTGGCACTATTACTTCCCTTGATCTAGATGCTATACTCCTATTGATGCAGCCCAGTCGTTAAGAGAGTATATATTGGTGTGTACATATGAGGCTATCTACTGCTTAGGTTAGGGATGGGGAATCTTTGGCCTCCAGATGTTGCTAGAATAAAACTCATCATCCCTAGCCATTGACAGTGCTTTGGCTGATGACAGTTGGAGTCCAACAACATCTGGAAAGCCATAGATTTCCCATAGGTTTGACTAAGGGTCAAACTGTATGTGACACTTAATGCATTATTAGAAACTTCCATTTATTTTTAAAAAAGGTTTGTGTGTGGTGATTTTCATCTCAGCCATAGAGAGGGGAAGTTTAATGTTTCCCATAATCCCAACATCAATCAGTACCACTACCATTCCACACTATTGTTATTAGTTTGTAGTCCTTGTAGACCTGAAGGAACATCTCCACCCACATCGCTCAGCCCGGACATGGAGGTCCAGCTCCAAGGGCCTTCTGATGGTTCCCTTACTGCGAGAAGCGAAGTTACAGGGAACTAGACAGAAGGCCATCTTGGTAGTGGCATCCGCCCTGTAGAATAGATGTCAAAGAAATCAACTATATGACTTTCCGAAGATAAGAAATATATAGGGAAGCTTGTTCATGCTTAATGGTATATCTACAAACCACAATAGCCGGAACACATTGGATATTGGTTAGTTCTTATACTCACCAAACTAAAGATACCAAAGATCCTGAAGGAAATGGAAGTTCTTATTATTCTTCAATTGAGAACACACCTATTGGCAAATATAATTAGCTTTATTGTTGAATAATTTAACATGGCAGTTCTTACCTGCTTAAAAGAATTATGAAGATGAGCATTTGTCTCTATGTATAGCCTGTAGAGGCTGTTCCCTGCTGTTTTTTAAATTTTGTGTGTAAATGTATTTCAGTATAATTGGTTAAAATACAGAACAGCTCAGCTCAAAGTTTTAGTACAAAGCTTCTTTATTTACTCATTACTCTGTCTGCTCCTCTCACAAGAGGGGAAAAACCTGATATACCAGAAGGAATATGAAATCCTAACATTTACCAAGTGGAGTTATGCTGATGTTTGAGGTTCTGGTCACTCATAGGGCTTCCTATCCTGCTTCAGATGGAAGTCGCTGTCAGCTTTTGTCAGTCATCTTTCACTCCCAACATCCCATATTTATTTGGAAGTGTGTAAATCACATTGATTTTAAATGACGCAATACGGGAGCCTTATTTAGTTAGCTTTAACTTGATTTATCCAAAGCACCTCCTTCCTTGGTGTAGAGTTTAGAGTGTTGCAGTCAAGACTTAGGTTACTTTTAAAGTGCTTTTCCTCTTTAGTCTATGCCCAGTGAACACATGGCACGGGTTTCAAATTGGGGTGGATTGATGTATGTGTATTTATGAGTATTTCATTTAGTGTAAGTCTAGACGTTGGTTAGGAAAATACTGATACACCAGCTAACCCAAATGTGTGGACAAATATTTGTGGATAACTTCTACACCAATGGAACTGATATATTTTCTTTCAAAGTTGTATTTTGTGCAGTGTTAAGAAGCTACTGCTACTATGTACATAGTTAAATAACCACAACAGTGACCTTTTAGGCAGTTCTCACTTTGACTTGTTTGCCATGGAGCTCCTCCTGTAAGCTGCAGAATTTTTGGGCATGTTTGAGAGAGCACACTTGGTTCACATGGAGTCCTGGCTTCACTGCTGCTCTCCCTGGACTGATACTGCACTCTTAGAGCTCACCCCAAATACCCTAATAGCTTCTTACTATATAGACCTGACAAAATGATCTGCCCACTTAATCAGAGCACCTTTTTATCCCATTAACATTTAAAACCAATTAACTGATTTAAATATTGTAGCCTAATTGTGATAGTACCAGGAGGATCGTACCTAGTACTTGTATGTCCACCATTCCACATTATTCTTACTCATTTGAAACAGGACAGGCGTGGCAGACTTCAAGCTTCTGAGCTTTGCTTTGTTTTTACAAGAACCCCAAGGTTTATCGACCAGAGCCAACTGCAAAACAGTGGCATGAGGGGTTGGTGGGCAGGTGTATACTTGGAAGTAAGGAATTAATTTCACACTCAGCCTAGAAACCAGTTTTCAGTACTGAGCTCAGTCTTTTCATCCAAAATACAATTCCTAGCTTCATTCCAAAGCTTTGGGTTTCAGCAGCCTAAATTTTTTGGGGGGGTGGGGTGTGTGTGGGAAAAGCCTTTTTCATCTTACTAATATTATATATTTATAGCCCTCCTTTTTCTTTGAGGGCTTACACGTAAAGACAAGAATCACTAAAAACATAGAACAAACAACAAAACGTTAATAGAATCAAACTATATACATATATAAAATCTGCTTAAAACATAACCACCAGTATTTACAATAAAAACAGCATGGCACAAGATCTTCTATTAAAAGCAGTCAGTTCCCAAAAGCCTGTTGGAACAAGGTCTTCATCTGCTGGCGGAAAACAGCAAGGTGGCATTCAGTCTAGATTCTCTAGGAAGGGAGTTCTAGAATTTGGGAGCAGCCACCAAGAAGGCCCTCTCCTGTGTCCCCACCAAGCATGGCTGTAAGGGTGGCGGGACCAGGAGAAGGGCCTCTCCTGAAGATCTCAAAACCCGGGCAGGTTCATACGGTCTTCCAGATAGATTGCACCTAATCTGTGTAGGGCTTTATAGGTCATAACCAGGACTTTGAATTGTACCTGGAAAGTACCTAGTAGCCAGTGGAGCTCTTCTGACAAGGGAGTCGAAATATATGCCCTGTAACCAGCCCTGGTCAGCAGTCTGACCACAGGCCTTTGAGCCAGTTGAAGTTTCTGAGTGCTAGTCAAAGGCAGCCCTATGTTACAGTAATATTTATTAAAATATTAAATGTCAATCCCTTCCCTCTTGTGCTGTCTCCTGACATGAAATGGCATAATAGCATTTTTGTGAGTTGCAGCATGCTGAATTGTGTGTGAAAATCTTAGTTAAGTACTTAGAGGATTAAACTCTTATCCGTTGAAATGTTGCCTTCACTTTTTAATTAGTGTTCCATTTAACTGAAAGAACATCCTTTCTCAGCGACTAAATATAAACATATGCATATTAGAAAACCTGCTTTGAGCTAAATTAGGTTTTATAGTTTGGGGAAGAGTGTTCAAATTTAGAGCTAAGCTTTCCGAAGGACTTGTTCTCCACATTTTATTTTTTATTTGAGTTTTCCTGCATTAGTTAAGAAGTTGTGTGGGCAGATTCTCTGTCACTGTATTTTCCATTGCTAAGTAACAGTTATAATGGTCTCCCACATTTAGCTAGATTTTTCTTTGCATCAGATGGCATGAGAAAAACTGAGCAGCACCAGGAAGAAAGACTTGGTTGCTTATTGCATAGTGCACAGAATTTGATTAGTACCTCTACCCTTCAAGGGGGAAAGTCCATGGCCTTTAGTTGAGAGCAAACTATTAAACTGTTAAAATAACTTGTATGGCCCAATCATTTAGATGTACAGGTGACAAGTAAACAGTTTTCAAGCACTGTGTTCAAAACACAGGGAAATACAACCATGGGAAGCTGTACATTTAATTACTGGTAAAAACCCCACCCCCAGCACTGCTTCCTAACGCCCCCCACTTTCCTTACCCCCAAGTAGGAAAGCAGCTGGCAGAAGTGACTGGTTTGTTATGACTTACTGGGAAAGGATCAAGTACACCTTCTGCCACTGTTCTGATAAATTGTGCACCTTTTATGGCATTTTGATGATAGATATAGACAGACAGACAGTTTGGTGCTTAATGGCTGCAGTGCTCTACACCAGGGATTTGGAAAGTGGCTCTTTATATACCTTTGGGCTACAGCTCCCATCATCTCCGACCACTGGCCAATGTAGGTGGGGCATTGTAGGAACTCCAACAGCACCAGGAGTTCCCCATGCCAGGAAGTTAGTCCTTTTGAGCTCAGTGAGGCTGACTTCTGAGTAGGATAGCATAGCTTGGTAAAATGTACGTGTCAATTAGATTTCACCACCAATATCAAAATTAGTATTTATTTTTTGGCGTTATTAAATGAAATATAAATTCTGTGCAAATCTACATTATAATCCAACTTTCACTGATTGGTAAAAAGGTAAAGGTAAAGGTACCCCTGCCCGTACGGGCCAGTCTTGCCAGACTCTAGGGTTGTGCGCTCATCTCACTCTATAGGCCGGGCGCCAGTGCTGTCTGCAGACACTTCCGGGTCACGTGGCCAGCGTGACATCGCTGCTCTGGCAAGCCAGCGCAGCACACGGAACACGCTAGTAAGCGGTCCCTATTTATCTACTTGCACCCGAAGGTGCTTTCGAACTGCTAGGTTGGCAGGCGCTGGGACCGAACGACAGGAGCGCACCCCGCCGCAGGGATTCGAACCGCCGACCTTTCAATCGGCAAGTCCTAGGTGCTGAGGCTTTAACCCACAGCGCCACCTGCGTCCCTTTCACTGATTGGTAAAAAATGTAATAACTTATTATTTAATTAATCATATTCTGTCTGTATTGTAGGTCAAATTCCTCTTGGAAAGCTGAATTTAACTTCCTTTCTAGACATGAAATTGATGACCAGAGGATAAAAAGCAGCCCTCATAAACTGATAGTAGTAGTTCATTTGCTGCCTTTTGATTGGGTGAGGAAAATAAGCTGAGACTCAGCTGACATGTGGTACGATTAGTCCTCTCCCCTGTAGAGAAGGTTACTGCAGGACATTAACCTATTCCATTTATTGGGCAGCTCTTGGGGAGAGAGAGAGAAGGAAACCTCTGCTAATGCCTTTAGATTATCAAAGTACCAGCAATGGCTGATCTAAAATACAATATTTAGAAAATAGTTTGGGAGTGTACTCTTTTCAGAATAGTTACACAAGTCCTTGGGCAGATAGCAGAGTTTGTTTAATTTGGAAAAGTATTATCTCTTCTAATGGAATGATGTTATTAAAATGTATTTTCAGGCCACCGATGGCAAATAAATAAATAAATCAGTGAATGGTAAAGATACCTAACATACCTTTAGTGTGTCATGGCCCCATATTCTTTTTTCCTTATTTATTTATTATTAGAGTTTGGATGCTTGCCGGTTGACTGGTCAAATAATGTCAATTGGCTGGTCAATTCATTGAGGTCAGATATTCCCTGACAGCTATGATGCTGTTGACATTTGAAGAATTGGCCTGCTGTCATAACTTAGCATAACTACATTTCAGAATCTATTTTTTAATAGTTGAAATGACTTTGATTTTTTGTTTGTTTTAATCTTGTAACTTCAGGCTGACTCTGTCAAAGATAGAAACTATCTGGGAAACTGTTCACTCATCTAATACAGATAAAAGTTGTAATAATTTGTTTTTTGAAAGGTTAGAGCTTGTGCTCTGAACTCATGCTGAGTTTCAAAGGCACACCATGGTCAAGACCCCACTCCTGATGGCACCTTCTGAGCACAATTTTTTTGTTTTGTGACCCCTGACATCTGCTTTAACCAATTTGGTTTCCACAATTACATGCAGTAATCTATCTTTCAGCTGAAGCTTGTGCAGATGTTCTGGGTCTAGCCAGAGAAGCAAGAAAGCGAAATCTTGGCCCTCTTCATCCTTCCTTTAACGTGATGAAGATTATAAGGGATGGACTTTGCAAAAATCTTCCTGAAAACACTCATCAGTTGATATCAGGGAAACTTTCCATTTCACTTACCAGAGTGTCTGATGGCAAAAATGTGATGGTATCCAACTTTAATTCCAAAGAAGAAGTCATACAGGTATATTCTCATTTTAACCATGTTTAGAATAATGTTCAGAATATTTCACATTTGTCTCAATCTTATTTTTAATTTGTTTCCTCATATTCATTTTTAGAACATTTGAAAGTGGCTGTGTTAGAGCTTTACTTTGGGGAAATTTTCCTATTAGAAATGCAATATGCAACTAACCTTTCTTTTCTTTTTGACAGGCTTTGCTTTGTAGTTCATTTGTGCCTATATATTGTGGCCTCATCCCACCTTCGTTTAGAGGGGTGGTAAGTACCTGCTCATTCTTCCATACTATAAACCAGCATGAGAAGGGTGCTGCTGCTGATGATAGAAAAGGTGGGAAGATGTAAATCTTGCCATTCTGATGTCTGCTTTGCTGTGTGTCCTTCATATACATGGCAAAAAAATAGTTCCAGGACAGCTTCATGTGAGAGATAAGAGACTGAAATGCCGTCTTTACAAAATAAGTCATACAATGTAATGTAACAGTTGTTTTAAGGAAACTAGATATTAATTCTTTAAAAATAAAATCTATTTGGGGCATTTGTTTTTATTCTTCTTGTGCATCAATTTGAAGATGGAAGAACTAAGGAAATAGGATGCCTCTATTGGCACACAAAGTATGTAGGGTGCCACATTTCATGATATTGTATAATGCAGAAGAATGTGCCTCCTGCCTGGCCATGTTGTCCTATTATTAGGAATCTGTGAACCATCCTTGGAAGTTCATTGTATGCAAATCTCTTTATTTGTGCACTCCATGGAGCACACATATGAATATGTTACATGGTACATAGATTTAGCAATACAGACACACAGTAGCTTGTATCTGGGCTTGGGCTTGTATGTGTTGGTTGAGAACTGTCTTGCAGAGTACCAGATGAAGCGATCTTAAAGATGAGATGCTAATTGTTATCCTCTTAATTGTCCTTTCTTAAGCAGTGTATTTCAAGGCCTTACGTAGAACTTGAGGAATCCTATTAAAGGCTGCCTGCATCTTAGTTGAAAGGAAGCATGGAGATGTTGATCTTTGCTAGTGTGGTTTTGCCCTCCTACTTTAGTAATAAGAAAAGAAAAATGATTCAGGTCAAGTATGTGCACATTCCAGATGGTTAAAAAATAGTGCTAACATTCGTGTGAAAGCTTCATGTGACATTTTTTTTACTTCAAAATCAAAACTACAAAGAATAACAGTCTGTGATTTAGTGATAATTTTTTTGAAAAGCCTGCTGATCTAGATTTTTTACAAGTCTTATATTCATCCATTTTTACTCTTTAAAAGCTGAAATCCTATATGAGGTGCAAGGTAGCATATTAGACTAAATCCATGGTTCAGGTTAATCTGGTTGCTTTGCCCTCGTGGCTGGGCAATTATGTTACCTAAAAGGATTTAGTTGGGTGACAAACGTGAGACATGCCTGAAGGCCTACTTAATTTTATGAATTGGCTTTGCCACTCAGTATTGGCATAGAAACAAAACTATAGGAGGAAGTGTGCAGATCATGCAGAAGCCTGCAGTTCTCATGCACAATCCTGACATCTCCTATTTGGGATCTTTTGATGTAGAGGCCTGGACACTAGAATTTGGCGCCCTGAGAGTTAACAAGGACAACAAAGATATATTTAAAGTAAATTCTATTGCATCAAAAGGAGAATTAGAAAATATGATAATAATCAATAAACAACACACTAACAGTAGGCTAGGTTTGCAAGAGTTTTACATGAATAAAAGAGATTGAGCAGGAAAAGAGTGTGAGAGGAGACTGTTGCCTGGATGAGGGAAGAGATTGGCTGAAAGGGTGAAGGCGGTACCAGATGGAAATTGGTGCTGCCTTGCCCTAGAGAGAGAAGGGGAGGTGGCAAGGGAAGAAGGTAGCTTGGAGGGCTTTGCGGAGCTTCAGGAAAGTTCTTTAGGTAAGAATCTGAAGAATCAGGTGGGATACTTTTGGGTGGCAATGGGTCGTGAGGGAAGGAGAATATGAGGTTGTTGGTATGAGACGGCCAATGAAGAAGAAAAGGGCATAGCAAGGGGAAGAAAGAGCAGGTCTGCCTGGGAAACAGGGACCCGATTGGGCTGGAAAGAGGGGGAAAGTAAGAATTTGGCCAGCTGACTAACTTGTTAGGGAAGAGAGAAGGGGGGAGGTTCCGAGAGGCTGGGGTTTGCTGTAGTGAAGGTGAAGGGGCCTCTTCAGCAACAGGAGGGGAATAGAGACAGGAAAGGAGAAGGGACAGGTAGAGTCCACGGGAACCTTCCTGTGCAGTGACGTAAGGGACCGTATTTTTCGCTCTATAAGACGCACCAGACCACAAGACACACCTAGTTTTTGGAGGAGGAAAACAAGAAAAAAAATATTCTGATTCTCAGAAGCCAGAACAGCAAGAGGGATCGCTGCGCAGTGAAAGCAGCAATCCCTCTTGCTGTTCTGGCTTCTGGGATAGCTGCGCAGCCTGCATTCGCTCCATAAGATGCACACACATTTCCCCTTACTTTTTAGGAGGGAAAAAGTGAGTCTTATGGAGCAAAAAATATGGTATCTTTGAAACCTGAAAGATTCGTACCTGTTAAGGTGAAAAGCATCACCCTTTATGCTCAAGTTGGACTTAAAAATAAAAACAAAGATTGCAAATCCTGTCTTCCTGGCTATGACCAGAGGTTAAAGGTTTTAAGTGGCACCAGTCAGGAAGAAATTGTCCCAAGTGTCTGAGAAATGGCTTCTAAAATGCATTTTCATTGTGTTTTCCAAGTGAGATATGGAAAGGAGTTTAGCACATCTTTTGAGATCTTTGGCTTATTGAAATGACTTGATTAGTAATTGTGGGGAGGGGAAGGATGTGACATTTGGGGTTATCATACAGTCATTTAACAATTCTAGAAGGAGTTGGATGTTTTATTTAACTTTAAAATTACAAATGATAAAGGAGGGTGGCAGATAATTTACAGGATAGGAGACAGCAGTCAATAGCTGGAGGTGTTTCCTCTCAGCTTGCTTGAAATGTGGTCTGCCTGAGTTGCTGTAATGACTGTAATGGAGGCTCTCTCTAGGCCTCTCCTAGCCAAAACCTAACAGCTTCCTTGGGTATAGGCAACCTTAGCAAAAGCTGGATTTTTAAGGCTGATTTGTATCAAGAGTATGCCCTTTGCTCAAACTAGGGTGAACATTGGAACCTTGGTTGGGGAAGGGGCAGGGTGAGAAGGATGTGAGCCCTATGAAACACAAAGGTAAAGGTACCCCTGCCCGTACGGGCCAGTCGTGACCGACTCCAGGGTTGCACGCCCATCTTGCTTAAGAGGCCGGGGGCCAGCGCTGTCCGGAGACACTTCCGGGTCACGTGGCCAGCGTGACGAAGCTGCTCTGGCGAGCCAGCACCAGCGCAGCACACGGAAACACAAAAGAGAGTTGTAAATTTCCTTTTCTAATGTTTTCACCAGGGCTGAATTTTGCCTCTAAGTATGGTGCATGCCAAAAGAGAGCCCATAACATTGCTTCCAATGTTGCAGAAGCTGCTGGGCAGCATATAATCTGGGGTGTGCACCTGCACTTTTTCAGACATTATTTGCGATCCTGAGGTGCACAAAGCTCTCTGTTGCTGTTCTGAGCAATGGCTTGTGTTGGGTCAGTACCTGCTCACATATAATATTACCACTGAAAGGTGTGGCAAGTGGAAATACTAGGCTTCCTTTCTGAAGTTGCAGAGCAAGCCAGCTAAATTTTGCTTTGAGCAAATAGATTCCTTAACTTTCTTTCTTCTTCCCTCCCCAAAGCGCTACGTCGATGGTGGAATAAGTGACAACTTACCTCAGTATGACTCAAAAAACACCATCACAATTTCACCTTTTGCTGGGGAGTGTGACATTTGTCCCAAGGGCAATTCTGCAAACTTCCATGAAATGAATTTCACCAACACCAGCATTCAGTTTAGCCTAGGGAACATCTACCGTTTAACTCAAGCACTTTTTCCTCCAGAACCCAAGGTATGTATATTCACTATTTTCTCTTACCCAGTCGCTAGTTTGTTGGCATGTATGTTTATATGTTCCTACCGTGGAGTGCTAGACAGATGCACCTCTCCAAAGGTATAGTTGTGTTTAAATTTCTAAATTTTTGTATTTATATAAATTTATAGCCCACCTTTCCTCCTAGAAGCTCATGGTGGCATACATGGTTTTCCCACTCCACGTTTAATCTAGATATTAGAGGATGATCACGCGCTACTTGAGTGCATCTTAGGGGCACGTTTAGTAAATTCATTGAGAGCAATTCCTACTAGCAAGGAACAATGTAAATGGTGGTAACCCTCCTCAGTTTGCAATATTGGGATGGGTGTTGAGCAATGATTGGGGCAGTTTTGGTGCAGTTAAGGTTTGAGGAAGGAGGTGTGCAATGCTCTACGGTACAGTTACTGTAGAATTGTTTTTTTTTTCCATTATGATAAAGTGCATACTGAGCCGTTTGGTAATGTGTCAACAGAGTATTAGCTGGCATGAGATGCCTTTCTGTATGTTGCTCTTTGGGAATTTTCAATATTCTCTATTTTTCTGTGAACAAGATGATGCCTCCCCGCCCCCCAAAAAATTAGTCAAAAATTGGGGTTTGCCTTATACACAGATTTATATGGTAAGTCTTGAGTGAGCTGGCGGCTCCTGGCAGCTCCTGAGTCACAGAGTGCTGGCCTCAGAGCTGGCTGGAGAGGTGAAGCAGTGCCCAGGCAAGGAGGGAGCGTGGCCACAGTGTGAGGCGAAGTCAGACGCAGGCTGGAGAAAAAGCTCAACAGCTTTTTGGCCAATTCCCCACAAAACCTGAACAACTGTAAATACTGATTTCTTTATTCTGGGCTTCCAAAAGTAGGTGTTGTCTTATACATGGGGTTGTGTTATACACGGAAAAATACCGTACTTCCTCTTGTTTACTAGTTTTTTGTAACCTTATTTTCAGGTGCTAGGAGAGATCTGTGAACAAGGCTATTCGGATGCTCTTAGATTTTTGAAAGAAAATGGTACGTCACTGTGATTTCAAATATATAATATGGTGAACAGAATGTCAGTCACAATGTCATGACAGGTCTGCGCATTTTTGTATACGGATGAAAGATGCTGACCATGGTTGCTCATATCTTTGTAACATCGAGTTCAGATTGCACACTCTGTGTTGGACTGTTTTTGAACAACATTCAGAAACTTCAGTTAGTTCAAAATACAGTTGCTAATATCAGCTGGAACCCAGCATATATAGATTCTACATTGTAGATGTATAGGATCATCTTCACTGACTCCCAAACTGTTGCTGAACCCAGTTCAAACTGATTATATTCTAATACTCATTTATTAAATTTATATACTGCCTTTCATCCATAGAGCTCAGAGCGGGTCACAGCATATTTTCTTCTAAGCAGTTGGAGACTTGGATATTGGAAGGATTCTGCCTTCCCACGTGATCCTGCCTATGAACATAGCTTATTATCTGCTGCAGAAAGTGTGGTCCAGGGAAAATTCAGCAGTGACTATATAGCATCTGAGGCAGTACAATTGTGGCTTCAACTCTACTTGTATAATAAGAGTTTGTGCCATGCAATGCGGACAGTGTTTTCTATCAGAAGTGGGTGATGCTAGACTTGCCAGAGTCTTATCATTCCATCTTGTTAGTATCATGTTTTCTTGATACATGATGCAGCTGCGGGTATCATGAGCCATTTTCCCCTCAAGGACTTGGAAGACTACAGTGACTTTTGGTTTATATAACTGTGGCCATACACTTTGGGAAATGGATAAATCTTCGTTAGAGAGTTGAGCTTGGATTTAAGTTTCTTAACTTCATTTCAGTGGCTCTAAGTGTAACTTATTTGGCATGGCACAATGGCTTGAGCCTACTTAATTTCACAGAAATTACATTGACTTTTACAATTACAGGCAACCTTGTGGCTTGTTCTTGAGATCCAGTATTTTTTTCCTGAACACACATGGCTTAGACATTACTCTTACATGGCTTAGACCAACTCTTACCAAAAAGATCCAGGAACAGCTGTAGTTTTAAAGCCCACTCAGCAACCTGGGGTCTACACTGGTAGAAATTATTGTCCTTTTGCAACACTCTTTTAAACCAGTCTTAGTAAAGAATGCCAGCATGGTAAAGTTTATGGCTTGGTTCAGTGTTAAAGCCACTCCATGGTATGTTTGGCAAACGCAGAACAGACTTCTGGTCCAGTGTGCCCTCCTTCGCTCATGTTCTAATTCATTCCATTCCAGATTTGTGCAAACCATAGGTTGTCTCACAAATGAAATTGGAACCCAGTCGCAGTCTGTGGTTTGTGCCAGACATAATTTTTCTGGTGTGGATGTCATGGTTAACTATAGTTTGAGTGCGGCAATCAGAATGTTTAAGGTGAAGACTGTTCATGATAGCCAAACTATAGTTTGGTTTTTAGATTTGAAACAGGCATTTGGGATGGGGCACAAGGAATGCAGTTTTTCCTTAGAAAATGGGCTTTGCCTGGCCAGTTTGGAGGTACAGAGGCAATGTGCTAATTCTCTACTGTTTGTCAGGGATAGGATTCCACTTTTAAGAGATTTCTAGGCTGACAATGCTCATTTCCATCAGTTTTTCTACTCTTGCGTTGCCCACTTCAGACAATATATGACCTTCTTTCTTCATGATTTGAAAGTTTATACTAGAAGACTTTTCAACCTAGGAGTAGTGCAGTTTTTATGCCCTCTTCCAACTCTGTTTTGCAATATGGTGCCTGTCATGCTCTTGAATACAAAAACACCATCACATCAGAAGCTGTTTTTATTCTGTCTTCCTCAGGTATACTGTATGATTCAGTTTTAGTTGACTTGGCCTTAACAAACGAAAACCATCAGGAATGTGTTCAGACCCCAGATTATGCTGATAAAAAAACAGTTGCAGCAAATGAAGCAAAAAAAGAGATTCAAGATGAAGAAATGCTTATTGATGAGCTGCAATTAGCTGCCTGGCCATTGGATGGAACCATTTTTGAGAATCTACCTCCTAGACTCCGTAAAGGTAGAGATTTAAAGTAACCTCATTTTTATTGTAAAACTAAGTTTCATTAAATTACTCCAGTAATTAGTAATGCATACAACATTGGGTATAGTCCAGCCAGAATTCAGCACTTGTAAATCCAACGTGATTTCAGCGGGAGAACATTTAGCACATTCTTAAATTTCTCCCATTGAAATCCATGGTAGTTTAAAGTGTTTGACTTGGGCTGGATCATGACCAGTGCTTTTAACTGCATCTGTAGTGCCTTGTTTCTGTAACATAGTGAATTGTATTAACTCTGGCCAGTTATTATATACTATGATAAAAGTTTGTTTTTCAGTTTATTTTTGCTAATCATCTTTACATACTTTAATCTTATGCATAAAATAACTGAGAAACCTACTGTTGCTACTTATCAGCGGTATAGCGTGGGTTGCTGGTGCCCGGGGTGGGCAAGCCACTGATTCTGCCAGAGCGTCCCCCCAACCAGAGCCAAGTGGGGCTGCATTGCGCCACCTGCCTGCCCACACAGGGGGGACCCTGGCTGGCTAATGTGGCTCTTAGGCAAATCCTCTCAACACCTGCAGAGAAGAGGGCCAGGCCAGGCTGCGCTGGGGTTACCCCTTGCCAGCCTCCCTCTGCCTGCACCTGCTCACCCTGGGCTGCTCTGCCGCCTTCACCAAGCCGGGGATCCCTACAGAAGCTGGCGCCTGCATGGGGGTACCTGGTTGCGCCCCTCAGAATTTTGCACCCGGGGCCTCGGCCCCCCAGCCCCCATGGTACTTATAACAGGACAAATAATAAACATTCAGTACAGGAGTATCTGGAATACTGTGCAAATTCATCTAGTAACACAGTTTAACTAAGAACTTGGGTATATATTTGTGCATCACAGAAACGTCTTCTTTGGCCACCTTTGAATGAAAGTTATTAATGTTGGATACTAACTAAACCTTGGTGCAGACGTGGCTTTCTGGATGCACATGGAAAAAGCATGTACCTATTAGACAAACTATAACAGAGCAAGTGGGGTGAGAAGGAGAAGGAATAAGCCAGGCAGACTAATTCCTTTCTCTTCCTTTCTTGGCACTTGTCCCTCACTCAGCTTCCTGTCTTCCATGTTCAGAAGAGCTGAGGTTTTATTCTAAGGCTGTAAGGAAAGAAAAACAAGTAAATTGCAAGGAGAACTATCCAGTGAATAAGCTGTTGAATAGAAATCTTGGTTGAGTTGTGCTATGAGTGAGCAAGAAAATAAATGTTTTTTCAAAGCTTTTGAGGGCCCAAATGCATTGCTTTTTCTGAACTAAAATTGTGGAAAAACATATTTTTATAATACAAAAAGGGTTTGAGTGTAAAAGAGTAAAAAATTCCTGTTCTTGGAGGATCCACCCCTGCCTTTTTTCACGAGTCTGTTCTGATTGAAAGGAAGGAAACTTCGAATAATGATTCACAGAACAGTGACACAGTGAGCAGCCACTTCTGATTGTATATCGACTGCTTGAGGAACGCTAGGATAATCAGATTGTACATGAAGCAGACTTGGTGGAATTACCTGTCCCCATTAGAAGCTGACTGAACATTACTGAAATTTATACCAGCCAGGTGGTGATGAACTGGCCCGTATGTATATAGGAGAGTACTAGGTGCATTTAGTTGAGTTCTGTCATGAGAAAGCCTGTTGTGGGTTATCTAGCACGATTCCAGGCAATGTTTCATCACTCTTGCAGAATCTAGAAGCCATTATGTTCATGTTCAGTTGAGATTAATGATTGTATAAATGACAGCTTTGCAGGAGGCTTGTAAAGAGAAATGTGGACTCTATGCTCAGCTTTCTAAATTTCTACCAATGCGACTGATGTCCTATGTGATGCTGCCGTATACTCTGCCAGTTGAGTCAGCATATTTTGTGGCCTTAAGGTGAGTGTTAAGCATGGAAGTCCTCCCTTGTTGTACTAGTGTTTTTATATAGCACATTTTCTAAGGGCTCACAAGCCTTAAAATAATTCTTTTTAAAAAAAATTCGTATGTATACCAATTTTCTTATAAAAATTAAATCCTGCTAGACAGGAAAGTATTATCCCTGCATTGCACATGGGATGGAATGAATGAGTGGAATACTGCTGAGAGGTAACAATATATTTAGGTAACTTTTGTAGTCATGGCTAAAGTTTGATTGAACTTAGAACTTCCAGGCTCACAGCTTAACCACTATATTATTCTTAAAACGATTAACTGAGAAAAAGTAGATAAATTTTCTTTTCCATGTGTGCTTTTTGTGTTCAGTTTCATAAACTTGGTATGTGCATGAAGCTTACTTTTAAAACTCTATATTTTAATTGGTGTGTATCTCCAGATTTAACTGAGAAACTGGCTGCGTAGGGAACTCTGTTCAAGGAGTTTGCAATGATAAAGGCCCTTTATAACATAGCAGTAATATTTCCAAACCTGTTGTAGAGAAAAAGCTAAAAATTAAACACCCCTATTAAAAATTAAACACACATGGGTGGTGCTGTGGTGTAAACCACAGAGCCTAGGGCTTGCCGATCGGAAGGTCGGTTGTTTGAATCCCCGCGACGGGGTGAGCTCCCGTTGTTCAGTCCCAGCTCCTGCCAACCTAGCAGTTCGAAAGCACGTCAAAGTGCAAGTAGATAAATAGGTACCACTCTGGCAGGAAGGTAAATGGCGTTTCCATGCGCTGCTCTGGTTTTGCCAGAAGTGGCTTAGTCATGTTGGCCACATGACCCGGAAAAACTGTCTGCGGACAAATGCCGGCTCCCTCGGCCTGTAAAGCGAGATGAGCACCGCAACCTCAGAGTCGTCTGTGACTGGACTTAACTGTCAGGGGTCCGTTATCTTTACCTTTATATTGTGTTTAATTATAAACCACCCTGAGACCTGTGAGTATTGGGCAGTATATAAATTTAGTCAATCAGTCAATAAAGCAAGAAGCCAGCAAGCCAAGTTTTAGGTGGGGCAGATTGGCTGATGTCCATAAGAAGCATTAGTAAAATGGCTTTCCTGCCTCTCTGCCCAAAGTCCTTCACTCCTATATGGCATTTTCTCAAATCAGGGTTCTGCCTGAAACACTATTATTTATTGCTTACAGATTAGTAGACTGGTTTCCTGATATCCCTGATGATGTGCGATGGATGCAAGGTCAGCTCTGTCAAGTTGTGGGCACAGTATATTCCAAAGCAAGAAAAAGATTACTGAGTATTCCCAGGTATATCTTATGCTGCTACATACTTCACGCTGCACATTTGTTGGTCAGGTGCAGACATAATATTTCAAATTGCTTAATCATTGTGAGTGTGCTATAAATCTATCCACTCCCTCTCAATCATTCCATGAACACCCATTCCTTCTCTTTTTGTTGGTAGCCACGGTTTAGTGTTACGTTTGCAATGAAATGAACACTGACTGTGGTTTAAAGTAGATGTGACATTAAATGTAAGCAGTTCACATGCAATTGACTTTTTAATAATCTTTTATATGGCATATGTAATCCATTTTGGGGGACGCGGGTGGCGCTGTGGGTAAAAGCCTCAGCGCCTAGGGCTTGCCGATCGAAAGGTTGGCGGTTCGAATCCCCGCGGCGGCGTGCGCTCCCGTTGCTCGGTCCCAGCGCCTGCCAACCTAGCAGTTCGAAAGCACTCCCGGGTGCAAGTAGATAAATAGGGACCGCTTACTGGCGGGAAGGTAAACGGCGTTTCCGTGTGCTGCGCTGGCTCGCCAGATACAGCTTTGTCACGCTGGCCACGTGACCCGGAAGTGTCTCCGGACAGCGCTGGCCCCCGGCCTCTTGAGTGAGATGGGCGCACAACCCCAGAGTCTGTCAAGACTGGCCCGTACGGGCAGGGGTACCTTTACCTTTACCTTAATCCATTTTATTCTGATTAACAGCTCTAGTATTAGTTTTTCTAAGTTGTACTTGCCCCTTGTTCTTGTGATTCACTTCTTCTTTTAAACAAACTTCTCTCCCTCTGCATCTCTTACTTTTTAATGTTTTAATTTACTTGTCTCCTTCTCACAACTTTAGCCCTATCTCACTACATTAGAGTATCAATTCTCTGACGCTCATCTGTCTGCACTAAAAAGCTGTAGGAAATGATGCAGAGCAAAAGGCAGGCCACAAGACAGCAGTCATGCAAGTTTCACCGCCTTTTTTAAAAAATGGGGCTACTTTTTGTATAAGAAATGTGTAGTATTTGAGGCATACCCAGGAATATTAATTGATGTGTGCATGCAAGCACTGTGAAATACAGGATTGCACACTCTTGGAATGCTACAATTACTGGGGTCTTTTCAAAACCCTCTTTCTACCCCTGTTCTCATCCATGGCTGGAGTATGTGTTAAGATGCCACCCACTCCCCATTTTATCCATTAGCAAAAACTTGGAATAGGTGTAGACATTTTTGCTAAAGAAATGGTAATTTGAATAAAGTCACAAAACCAGGAATGACCACAGGAAAGAATTGTTTGGCTGCTTCCTTTCCCCATCCCTACCTCTCTCCTTTGCTAGTTTAAAATGAAGAGTAGCAAAGAGTCGTGAATTACATAGAAAACTATTAAAGCTAATAAATAGAAACTTGAATGGCATGAATGAAATTCTAGTTAAATCAGAGTTGTTTAATTAATTGACACAGGGTAACCCTATACAGTGGTTCCTTGGTTCTCAAACTTAATCCGTTCTGAAAGTCTGTTCCAAGACCAAAGTGTTCCAAAACCAAGGCACGCTTTCCCATAGAAAGTAATCTAAAATGGATTAATCCATTCCAGACTTTTAAAAACAACCCCTAAAACAGCAATTTAACATGAATTTTACTATCTAACGAGACCATTGATCCATAAAGTGAAAGCAATAATCAATGTACTGTACTATAAAATAAATAAGACAGTATTGTAGATGATAAAAATTAAAAGTATATATTTTTTCTTAACTGCACTGATGATAGTCATTGTTTGCATGGGGGGCTTTTATCCATTTCCGCAGTCACACAGTCAGTCAATCAGTAGCTGAACTGGGTTCCACGCAGTCACAAAAATAGATTAACCGAAAAAGCCTCAAAAACACAAAATAAATAAGAAAAACAAAAGTGCCAAACTTAATCCGTTCCAGAAGTCTGTTTCACTTCCAAAATGTTCAAAAACCAAGGCGCAGCTTCTGGTTGGTGCAGGCGCCCCAGAAACAATAGCTGACAACTGCATTGGATGTTCGGCTTCCAAAAAATGTTTGAAAACCGGAACACTTACTTGGTTTGGGAACCAAGGCGTTTGAGAATCAAAGTACCACTGTATAAATATGGTTTCAGTAAATATTTGTTTTTTTAAAAAACCCTATTCAGTCATTTACTGCTGATTGGATGAGGATGGGGAGCATATTCCATCTTAATATATGATAAAAATCAAAAGTTGCTGAAGAGTCACTGAGATTTATTCTTCTTTTTTACAGCAAGGAAAACAGTGCACTGATTAGAAAGTGTCAGAGTGCCCCCCTGAACACAAGTCTTCACTCTTTTTACTGCCCTCCTAAAATGCCTCATTCTTCCACACACCTGGAAGAGTGGCTTTTGGATCTTCCATACTGTGAGGACTTGGTTAAGAAAGAAGCTGCAGTGGGTATAAACGAAAGCTTGGACTCCATGCCTCCCTTTTTTATGAGCTCTGAAGAATCGGGAGTGGAAGTGGATTTTGACTCCTGCTCTGAGAAGAGTTTCCAGACTGCCTCTGAGGACTAGCTTAAGAACTGTGGCATAGACAAAGAAATCTCAGTCTTGGAGGCATCAGTTTATCTAGCAGATTGCCAAACAGTCTTTTGGAAGACTGGCTTACACTAGATGACAAAATGCCTTTGAGGAATCTTTTGTGGAAAGAGAAATGTGCTGTTCTGGTCCGGCTTCCTGATAATGACTAAAGGATTAAGAAGACCCTAGTGCAATAGAACATGGTTTACCCAAACAAGATTTTCGGCAGGAAAAGAAGTGATTCAAGTCTTCTGATTTCTATTGGGACAAAGCATTTTTAGCAAAACCACTTCGTTTTAAAGTATTTAACTTTTATAATAGTCTTTTCCTTGTTTGTCTTCATATGTGGCGTTAGCACTTGAGCAAAATCAAACAGTGTGTATTCAGATGACTATGGCATATAGGAATTTTTTGGAAGGCCTCTGAAGTTTTACTTGCCTTATGCATGATACTTGTTGGAATTGTTAACATCAGTTACACTCCTTATCGTAAGGCTTCATTGTTTTTCAGAAAGATAGTACTTAGGAGGCATTGTGTGTTCTAACAAGTGTGGTCCCCCCCCTCGCCGAGTGATTCTTTCTCCCTCATTGGCTTGGAGAAGCCACAGATGTAGTTCAGAATTTAGTGCAATGCACATGTGCCACTCCATACCAGAGAATCCTTATGGGCTGAATTCAATCCCAATAAACAATACTTTTAACAATGTTTTACTGAAGGCATCTAATTGTAGACCATTTTCTCTTAGAGCAGGAAGTATGGTGTGGATCAATGGAAGTATCAGCTGCAGATGCCATCAAGACATGGGCTGAATGATTTACCTATCCAAATAGCCGAGACGTTACAGTGTGATTTGTAATTAATGGAGTTTAAAAGCTTCTTATTATTTCTTGTAATCAAGCAGCACTGGAAGCTTTTGAAAACAGATTAAAATCTGAAAAATGAACTGTATTCCCTGAAGTAATCACAGAAATCATTCTATTCTCCGTTGCACTAAATTCAAACCATTTTAGCCCAGTCTTTACTAACAAAAAATGTGCCAATATGTTTTTTCAGTTTTATTATAGGTTAGGTCTTAAGTTGCCTAACACGTGAGAGCTGACAGTAGTGCTGAATCATGAATAAGCTACTTTTCAAATTCTTTTAATTTTAGAAGTACATTTGTTAAGATAAATAGCCTCTCTGAAATCTGGATACCATATTTGATAGTGATGCTTTGAGTATTCCTTGCCCACCATTATTCATCACTTTAAAGTGACAAGGATACTTAAGTATGGCACAGGATTTACACTGCATTCTCCAAAATGGTAAATGATTCAGAAATGCTGGTCCCATAGGCTGCTGATCACCCTCCCCTGGCATGGCACTTGGAGGACTGGTCTGCAGTGATGCTGTCTTAGCATAATGGCCTAAGAGTCAATCAAATAGATTTTGGCTTGGGAATCTAGGTTAGGAATGAGGTGGATTATATTTTGACAAAATCAAAGCCTTCATAAGAATGGGAAGTCTTGTGTATTTATTTTAATTATTGACTATGGGCAAGTTTAATTTTGACCAAGCGTTTAGCAGTCTTTCAGCTATGACTTTATACAGTGAAAACTGAAGGAAGTGCTGTTTTTAGAAAAACAACGAAGCTACATTTTAAATTTTTAACATTACAAAAACTTTCTTATTTATATCCTTGCTGGTGCTATTTCATTCAAGATATAGACATAAATGAGTTATTTTGTGTGATCACTGATTGTATGCTTTATTTTAAAAATCTTGATTGCATTTCCAAAATGGGCCAGAATATTGTTCCAATCACTAATGTTTATATAAAGCAGCAAAATAAAGAGACAAAAATGTTTTTGATGTCTGCTGTTTATAATAGCAAACTGAATTTAAGATAATTGTGGTTGGAAGGAGGGAGCTCAAGGAATATATTGTATTGCAAAAGCAGCGGCTTCCAATTTTGGGGGGGCCATTGCCCTCTTGGTTCCATAAACTCATCCATGGTGCTGCTTACCTTACCCTATAAAAAGAATTATTCAGAACAGTGATAAATTCGAAACAATAACAGTTAATTGTACATTTGTTCAAAATCCAATTATCACTATTTAGTTTAACTATTTCAACAAAATTATTGAACCTGATCCAGTGATACCAACTTTTCAGACTATTAGTAATTTACATCACCAGAATCCTTCCTGCCGCCCCCCCCCCACATAACCCCCCCCCCCCAGGACTGGTACCACCCACTTTGGGAGTCACTGCTGTAAAGTTTTAAAGTCTTTTAACGAGGTTGTATATTTAAGCTATGGAATTACAAAAACCGAAGCCTATATTTCTGCTTGTACCATTGTACCGAAGAGCCATCGAAACCTCTAGGAGGCTTTGGAAAATATTTAAAGATTGGTCCCTGCTGTTGCTGGCAAGACGTCCTTCTCTGCGTTCACTGAAATTCATAGTGCACATATATCTTAAATGATTTCTACCTCCTGTTCTTATAAATTATATATTTTGAAAATGAATAGAAAGCTTAAAATTCAATATTCCAAGGTTTGTATTTCTTCTATGGAGTGGCAATATTTTTGAAATTTATATTCTGCCACATTATTCCACAAGACAAGGACATATTTTACATGGGAAATATCTCTTGTAGCCTTTGTGCTCCATCTGCGGTGGTTGGAAAAGAATGTGTCTGGCAGGGATAAAGATAACAGGTGGAGATGTTGGGTGCAAAGTATGTATGTACACACCTTAAGGGATTATAGCTGTACTGCAATAGCTATCTCAAGCAGAGCCCATGGGTCCAGAGTTCTTTTTCTCAACTTCTCTCAAAGCTAAATGTTTTTATAGTAACAATGTAAATTCAGTGAGGCTATGGTTTTCAAAAAGTTTTTTTCGGTCTGTTTGGCTGGCAACATTAAACTACAATACTTGCTATTTATGTTATATTCTATTCAATATGAAGAACAATTGATAATAATACTAGTATTTGTTGATCACTTTGTAACAAAATAAAAATGTCCCAAAGCAACTTAAAATAAAATAGAAACAAAATCAATCAAAAGTCAAATTAAGAATGATGTACAATACACAGTACAGCGGTACCTCGGGTTAAGTACTTAATTCGTTCCGGAGGTCTGTTCTTAACCTGAAACTGTTCTTAACCTGAAGAACCACTTTAGCTAATGGGGCCTCCCGCTGCTGCCGTGCTGCCGGAGCACGATTTCTGTTCTCATCCTGAAGCAAAGTTCTTAACCTGAAGCACTATTTCTGGGTTAGTGGAGCCTGTAACCTGAAGTGTATGTAACCCGAGGTACCACTGTATCTAAAATAATAATTGAACAATATCATAAGGACAACCTCCTATCCTCCAAAAAGACTAACACAGCAGTAGAGGCTAGCGTAATCACCAAAGGCCTAGGTAAACAAAAAGGCCTTGCAGGTAGAAACTTAGAATTACAGTATAGCACCAGGCATGTTTCATGGGGGCATACATTCAGCTGCACAGAGTCACTCCTGAAAAAGCCTCTTCTCGTCTATTTCTTCTGCATTTTTCTCAGATGAGGCACATAGAGAAGCAACTCTGATTAATATTGCAGGGGCTGGACCGGTTCGTTTTAGCAGAGGCTTGGGATTCCTGAACTACATGAGGTTTTGTAAGTCAAAGCCACCCTTTTAAATTGAGCCTAGAAACTAACTGGTAGCCAGTGCAAGCAGGCCAGAATCAGTGTAATAAGCTCAGATCTTCTGGTCTCTGTAATCAAAGGGCTGATTTCTACACTAGCTGTAGTTTCCAAACAGTCTTCAAAGGAAGGCCCCATGTATAACATTGCGGTAATCTAATCTACAAACGATAAGAATATAGGCCACTAAATCTAGATTATACCTGTGCAAATACGGTCAAAGCTAGGCCACAAACTCAAGCCGGCAGAAGGTTTCCGTGCAACCATGTAGACTTATGCCTCTAGCAACAGCAGTGGATCCAGGAATTAAAGAATGGCATGGTTGGGAGGGATCCCAAGGGTCATCTAGTCCACCCCCCCCCCCCCGCGATGCAGGAATCTCAACCAGCTCATACAGGACAAATGGCCATCCAACCTCTGCTTAAAAACCTCTGCACATGTCTCTATCTATCTCCATGCTATATACCTGCTCCTTTAGTGGTAGAACACGTTGGACACCCATGCAGTCTAGGAAATTGCCCCAAAACTGCCTCAGTCAGTTTTTCCCGGATGGAGCTTCAGTTTATTGCTTCTCATCCACTTTTCTACCACGGCGAGGCACTGATCCGGTACATCCCCTGACCGTACGGGCCAGTCTCGACAGACTCTAGGGTTGTGCGCTCATCTCACTCTAGAGGCCGGGAGCCAGCGCTGTCCGCAGACACTTCTGGGTCACGTGGCCAGCGTGACATCGCTGCTCTGGCGAGCCAGAGCCGCACACGGAAACGCCGTTTACCTTCCCGCTAGTAAGCGGTCCCTATTTATCTACTTGCACCCGGGGGTGCTTTCGAACTGCTAGGTGGGCAGGAGCTGGGACCGAACGACAGCTCACCCCGCCGCGGGGATTCGAACCGCCGACCATGCGATCGGCAAGTCCTAGGCGCTGAGGTTTTACCCACAGCGCCACCCGCGGTCTTTCTTTCCCTCTTCCCTCCTGTATTTATTTAGGGAGTAAACCTGTGGGCAGGATTTTGCTTTTTCTTCTACAAGTATATTCTGAATAGAGCCAGCTTTTCATGCACTTATGAAATGCAATTTACTATTCAGCTTTATTTGCTTTTGTTTTGAAAATTTAGTGTTTGGCTTCTAAATACAGTGGTACCTCAGGTCAAGTACTTAATTCGTTCCGAAGGTCTGTACTTAACCTGAAACTGTTCTTAATCTGAAGCACCATTTTAGCTAATGGGGCCTCCCACTGCTGCCGTGCCGCCGGAGCACGATTTCTGTTCTGATCCTGAAGCAAAGTTCTTAACCTGAAGCACTATTTCTGAGTTAGCGGAGTCTGTAACCTGAAGCGTATGTAACCTGAAGCATATGTAACCTGAGGTACCACTGTACTGCCCACCCCCAACTGCACGCATGGCCGGCTGCTATACATGTTGATGTGGAAATAAATCCCCATGAGTTGCATGCACTTAATCATTCATACATTTTATTTAGTCGAGAACAAATGAGGTGTTTTATAACATGGAGATAAGTTGCCTTTAAAAACTATTAATGTTTTTACATATTAAGGTATGGGCTCATACCTGTTTTACATAGGTGAACAGGAACCTATGAGGACTCTCTCAGATGAAGGATATAATGCACCCAAACTTAGAAAGCACATGCTTAAATTGAACCAAACTTTGGCCAAATAGAATCTAAAAGAGTGGCCTAAAATGTGTGCATTTTCAAGCTACACATTTTCAAATGTGTGTATTTTTGCTTTGGGCAAGATAAAGTGATGTAACACATTTAATAAATAAAAGTAACAACAACAATGTACCAGTAGGTGGGACTGAAGAAAATCTTGGCTCTACACCAGGAGTCTGGAGTGTTTACAGCCTGCTACAAAACTACAATTCCCACAATGCTTTGCCTGAAAGTTTTGGGTGGGGCAGTGACTCATCTCAGTGGCTGGTACTGTATCTGAATACAGCATAGGTGTAAGTTTGGGAGCCTTTTGCCTTCTCCCAAGGGCCCAATCACAGGAGGATGGGAAATGTTGGGGTACACTATCACAGTCCTTCACATAACAATTGACGTGGCTGACAGCACCTTCTCGGTGGCTATGCCAAGACTTTGGAACTTTGCTGGGAGTCGCCCAGAGACAATTTATTCCAACAGGCTGTTTGGGAACTGACTACTTTTAATTCAAGGCCTGGTGCTGTGCTGTTTTTAATTGTAATTATCTGCATGTTTTCATTGGATTAAAAAATAAAATGTTTTAATTCTATTCATGTTTCATTGCTTTTTTTAAACGATTGTCCCATCTTTCAAGTGTTATTATTTCATCTGTAAGCTGCCTTGACTCCATATCAGGGAAAACAGCGGCATGTGTATGTATGTATGTATAAATAAATAAATAAGGAATTTCTGCTTGTGAGTTCCAGTTGCAAAGGCCAGCATACAATTCTCTTGCCATGGAGGTGCCAGCGGATGGAGTGACCAATGGATAATAAACGTTAATAGCAACTTTATCAGAGAAACATGGAGCTTCCTGGTACTTTTAGAACCCCAATTTCATTTTTGCCTCCGGTAGAAATGAAATCAGTCTGTGGAATGTAGAAACACAGTGTTTTTAGTTTAGGCAGCAGAAATAAGAAGGTAGTGGCACATTTAAAAAGTGCTTGCTCTTTCTAATTTTGTGTTTTTGGGAAAGGATGGCCTTCCTTTTTTATTTCAAGCAGTAAGGATGCAACGGAGAATTGCAACAAGCAATGCAGAGCAAGGTGGCGAGTAAGCCAGATCTTTTCTTGTACTCCTGTGGCAAGAGTCACAACATGCAGGAAGGAGAGGGACCCTGACCCATAGGGCGTGTGCAGAGGGTGCAATTCTCACGACAGGAGGTGCAATCCCAATCGCAGGCAGCACCAGATCTACACGTGTTTTTGAATCGTGCTGTTGGATGCGAAACGCGAGCGATGGATTGGGACTGCAAAGTGAAATTTTAAGTAGAGTGGCCTTTGCCTGCTGCAAACCTGCGTGTGGCATGTCTGTCTTTTGCGCTGAGGGTTCGGGGCTTGGGATCCAAACGACCCTCAGCCCATAACTGTCAACTTTTCCCTTTTTTAAAAAAAGGGAAATTCCCTTATTCCGAATAGGATTCCTCGCAAGAAAAGGGAAAAGCTGACAGCTATGTCTCAGCCACTCAC